TATATATATATGCGCATCTAGGAAATTGCCACATTTTAATAAAATAACCTAGCAAAAGTGATGCGAGACACTTTGATCTGGAACCTGAGCATGAAACCATGGATGGAATCCATCTGCTGGCAGCACAGGAGCAACACGCTTTGACAGACAGCGTGATTCAGAAACTGCCAGTCTCAAAATAATCTGCCATTCAGCTCTCTTGCAGAAGAGATCAAACGTTGTGAGAGCAAAGATACAAACACAAAAGACCAAGACAACCGAAACTGAAACACACAATCCAACCCAGCAGCATTAAATTATACTCCCTAAATAAGAGGGCTTGGTTCAAGAGCCCATTTGCAGTACAAAAATCAATCATGTCAGATCCCAGTAAACCTTAGGTTTGGTCACAGTGAGAAAATAATTGAATGCACAGGTATTTCTTTAACATCAAAGCTAACCCTTTAGAAATCTCCCTTCCCCAAATTTAACGCTAAGGTGAATTATTTAAACATCACTGTCGACTATCTCCTTTAGGCACGTGAATTACTGAAGGTGCTCTCCCTGCAGTGTAGATGCAGGCTCAGTGCACAGGGAGATTAAGTGTAGCTCAGCTAAACACCTGCCGTAGAGGAAACACTTCTCCCACTGCCTGCTACCACTAGCTGTCTGTGGAATTGGCAGCTCTCTCACTATCACATAGATGAAAAGCAGGGCTCGCTTGTTGCGAAAGGCTTTTGCCAAGCTGGATCAAAGAGCTGGAAAGCACAAGAGGCTTCTTTCGTCTTACCAATATGAACCTGTCTAGGAATGAGGCAGAATTCAGCCACAAACAACTAGTTTCTATCTTGCTTTGGTTTAGATACAGAACATAGGATTGCAAAAGGCATGATATTAATAAAGAAAGCAACTTTGAAGAAGTCAGATGCTCTTATTCCTTTGGAAGTCACTTCTCTGTGTTTTTTGTTTTGTTTTGTTTTTTAAGTTTCAGCTTTACGGTCAGCATTTTTCATACTAGAAACTTTGTGCTCTTACACTCTCACTATTGTTTGAGAGAGTCATGATTAGGATATTAAAGGCAGATTAATCCCAGCAAAACAGACTATTTTTACCCCTTGGCCTGCATTCCTAGATCACAGCTTTTCAATGATCCTGTGTAAATCCATGAAAGCTTTCCAGTGGAACTGCAGGAATCTCTTTAAACCATCTGTGCTCTCAGTCAGTCTTTGAGACTCCTCCAAACACTCTTGAGCCTCACAGCATCCATGGACCAGTACTGAAACACTGGTGCAGTTTCTCTTACAGGCACAGAATCAAAGCTGAGACCCACTGAAGCCAGTGAAATTTTCACCCTTCCCTCACTTCACAATCGGATTCAGAACAAAAAGAAAAAACAGTCAAACAAAGTAACACGACATTTCTTTGAGCAGACTGTTGGCTTTTCTGAGTAGTAAAAGTACTCTTAAGACTTATCTTATGGAATAAAGCCATTAAAGACATCATGCTAGTGCAAAGCAATTTCACATACGTTAGCAGTCAAATTCTCCATACTGATGTTAAAACACATTCATTACTCGAAGAATCAAGTGTTCTTCCCATATCATGTTAATGCATTAGTGAGGTCAGGTACTACCTTTACATTCAGAAGGAATAGGAAATTCAGACCGACTCACAGGAACAAGCTGCTAAATGATGAAAGACAACAGCCATAAGCCAACTTCCAACGAGAAGTATGTAAGAGTTTGGTATTCATTTTTTTTAAAGCATGTGCAATCCTCTTCTACATAGCATTCGTACCTTTAATTATGGTTTTAGCTTCAGCATTATCTGAGTTAAGCTGTGCACAGCTAGAAATATTTTCGTATAAAAAGATTAACAATGGAAGTAAAATCTCTTAGATGCGTTCTTTAGTCAAAATAATCACATTTCTCAAGCGGACCCACATCAGCTCTACTCAATTCTGTCGTCCCCAAAACACTTACTTCATCCAAAATCATACAGTAGCTTCAAATAATTCTGCAATTCATCTTCAGACTCATGGCATATTATTCTGTTATGATGTGTTTTTTGTTATTTTTCTTTTTTTAATAAACTATGAACTCTTTTTTTTTTTTAATTTTTCTTCTTTTTAAAGGGGGAGAGCAAGGAGTTTGGGAAAAGAAGACCAGGGAGGGTGGCAGTAGAGGTGGAATTAAAGAGATTATACAGACTGATAGCCAGTACGACTTTTTCTTCTTCCAATGATATAAGATATAAAGACAAGAATGATAAGGAAGCCAAGTGCCATGCCCACTGCGATGGGAATAAGAAAGTTGAGGTCAGAATCAGCAAAGCATTCTTCAGCTGCAGAAAGAAGAAAAACAAAAAAAAAAGCAAAGGAGAATAAATTAGTAAAGGAAAACTAGCATTAGAAACCAAGTAAAGCAGGGCACAAACAGATGTTTACAGTTTAAAACATATCACTGTATTGCATACAAAGTACACCTGAAGTGCAATCAGTATAGAGCAGAAAACTGATACAGAGATTGACTTCTTCAGACATACACACTACACACAAAATTTATACTAGTAAAACACTTCATTTGTAGAGGAACCTTCACGTCCCTTTAATGTGCAGTCCACCCACATATATTAGACATGTCAAGCCAAAACAGCAGTCGGAGAGCACATCAGCTGAGCACATCTCACAGAAACGGTAAACTGGCTAAAAAGCAACACAAAAGACAGACTGGTATACTACCGCCTTACCCAAACCCTCAAGTCACCAACATTTCCTTAGGTTTTAGAACTGAAACGACAGACAGCAAATCACGTAACTGAAAGTACACACTTCCTGACACCTACAGAAGACAGTCAAGATATATATGCTGAAAGCACTGAAGTGAAAACACTGAAAGACTCTTTTTGGGTGGGTAACTTTATTTATTTTAATTCAAATACAAGAAAAGGGTTATCAGTTTCAGTTGAGAATTATGCACATCTTATTGAAATCAACAGAGCATATAAAAAAGAAGACACAGCTGTAATGCTACAGGGGTTTTCAACATACAGTTTGGAAAATACACCATTAACGCCTTTCTTATACAAATACTCATGCAAGAATTAGTGTAGACCTTTCCAGGACAAACAACGCTGGGAGCCAGTTTCAAAGTCAATGATACACCTTAAGCAGACATGGAGCAAAGCTTAACATTCTTCCCCCATTCGTAAAGAGAGTGGAGCTCCATCCAGCTGGCGCCAAGATAAAATGTTTTGTAAGACGTGCTTCAGCTCTAGTAAGGGTGTTTGACTTTTGTGCTTTTAAAAAAGCACAGCTTCTTAGAAATTGTTTTTTTTTTGCTTGAGTTCTTACTAGAACAGAATAACTGTCATGCACACATTCAATGCTATGTTAACATTATCAGCTATTGCTTTAAGTACATACTTAAACCATTTGAGCCTCTAACTGAATTGGCCTTAGCTATGGGGAATTTACTGTTTGATTTAGCTCAGACGCAGCCTGGTAAATGCTTACCACTACCTTTTCATTAAAGGCTATATTAGGCCATTGGTCAGTTAAGAGGAAGGAAAACAAGACTATACAGAAGTTTAACACCTGAAAATACTAAACACCTGAAAATACTAGACTCCGGCAGTCTGAAGGCACCTACTGTCAAGCTGAGCAACACTTGGGAGAAAGAAGAAAGGAAACATGTACCTTATACAGTGAGCTATTTCAAAATAGTCTTACTAAAATCTGAAAAATATTCAAGCAGTTTTGCTTGAATTGCATTTTACTTTTAGTCAGCGTTGGTCACTAAAGATCAACATATACTAATTCATTACTGTATGATGGATAATGGGTCATTTATATTTAACAAGGATGCAAAGCAAGCAGAAACAGAAATTCCCTTTTCATCTTCTTTAAAGGAAGAAGATTGCTGTACTATGTATGGCACTGTTACAAGAAATTTCCAGACTAAAAAGGGTAAAGTTTAGTACCAGGAAGGTTCCATCCTTTACCTCTCTCAAGTTGGCCCCTCTGTTGTTGGCACACCTCTATCCATATATCACTACTGAGCAGTGGTTAGAAGTTTCAGAGGTGTGTCTTCAAATGGAGAACCTGATAAATGCACGTCATGACAAACGGAATTCATGTTCAGGCCAGCAGGAGTAAGGGCCAAATTCTTTAGACTTATTTGATTGAAAGACTATCAGTTCCAAATAACCTGGAAATTTGGCCCCAAGATTTTTAGCCCCAATATAAAAGCCATCTTCCCTTCGAACTCTGATCGTGAGATGCAACTAGTATCAGAAATACCACGTTTTTACTAGTATCTGCTCTACAAGAGAGAACATTCTGGTAAATTTAAAAAAAAAAAGTGAAATGCATTCATTAACTGAAAAAAATTTCTCTCAAGGTCTACTAGCATGGCATCTTTAAGCTAAAAAGACCAGAAGTCTGGGTATCTTAGAGCACAGCTTTAAAATTTAGCAAACTGTATATAAGGCACAGTCAATAATCAAAACAAACTGCAGTGTATGATTGATTATGTACGTTAATATTCAACACCCACAAACACACACAATATTGGTTAAGTGCTATTCCCACAGACGGAAACAAAACTATTTATTCACATAATGCCACTATGCATCCTCAATATTCTAAAATTCAAAGTGTAGTACTCTGGAAGAATTGCCATCTTAATTTATCAATTGATTATTAACCAGAACATGTTCAATGCAAGTTGTTAGGTTCAAATATAAACCACAACGTTAAAGCCTGCATCACTTCTTAACCAGGTGCTAGTTTTAAGAAAGAGTTTGCCTGACTCAGCATGCAAGTTGCTGATCTGTGTTTTGAGTTCATTTTCCTTAATAAAGTAAAACTTTCCCATTTTAAAACTGCTCATATCCAGCATTACGGTGTTTCTTGTGGCCAAAAAAGTAAGCCATTAGTACTAGGACAACTAATCCTCCCAAAGCTGCTCCTACTGCTATAGGTACAATGAAGTTGTCCACCTCTGGGCTGCAGTCTTCCGCTAAATGGAAAAAGGGTAAGTTTGAAAAAGAAATCCATTTAAATAGAAATATTTAATACTACAATCTCCCTCTAATTACTTAAAAACAGTTATGTCTTTCACCAACAGGACAGTCATCTATAAAACCTTGTCCTCCTCCCCCTCCCCAAAACACAATAGCAACGTTCCACCTTCCCAAGCATCGTAACTAACAGACTCATTATTCCATGATAGCTCTTGTTGAGGAGTAGGGATTAGCATATTAATGTAAATTTATCCTTATTGTACTAGATTGCACTTGTTCCTCCTGTCATGAGACCTACAGACCGCACAGGACACACAACAGACCAACAAGAGGTATGGCAAAGGGAAGGCTAGCGTCTCTTAGAACAGAAACAAGCACTGTGATAGTTCTGTTAGCAGATGAGATGGCAGCGCAGGGAGGACCTACACAACTTCTACCTTGGAGGATGAAACTACTAAACAGCTCTCAATAGGCTCCCTAAAGCTTTCCCATTCTTCCTAAAGGAGGACTGATGTCACTTTCCAGGAGGACTGCAGGAAGATAAACTAACTATTCACAGCTGTAATCCAGTTTGTAACCTGGCTAGGAAAACAATCAGTCATAAAAACATCTTGCAGGGATGAAGCTACAACTGACTAAAACTTTATAAGCAGCTTTCTAATGGTGAATGAGTGTATAGTATCTCAATTAGTTCCCAAGCTGTCTTCTGCTAGTGGATTGTAGCCAAGTGCATTTCAGCCTGCTGCAAAACAAAGCCTTAAGACCCAGGCAACAGAGGACTCTTCAAGGACCACCTTCACAAGTTAGGTAACAGAATCTCAGATATAGGCTGATTAACGTTGACCTTACTCATTTAGTTTATTTTCTAAAAATAAACAAATAAAGACAATACAAGATGTCTGTTTTCAAAACAGTTTAAAAAAATGTGAACAAGTTTCCTTAAGAAATAGAACAATCTTTATTGTTTAGAGCACATGTTGAGCAGGTTGACAATTCCCTATGGAACAATACATACAGGAAAACTAGTGGTTTTATAACAATAGGCAGTCATGTCAAACTCAGATGTTTTTTGAACCAGTTATCTGCACATCAATCTAGGAGTACTTTCGTCTCTGAACAAATGTACTTATAAGTGAAGATTAAGTTGCAAGGTTTTTTTTTTGTTTTTTTTTTTGTTTTTGTTTTTGTTTTTTTTTTACACAAAGGTACATTTAGTTGTGTTGAGTTTCAGGAGAGTTTGCACCAATCTTGTATTATGTCACTTGGAAACTGTGCACAGTTCAAGAATTCATATGGTCAAAGGAATACAGCTGCAGTAATTACTCCCTTTCTATAACAGAAATGCACAGGTAACTGGTGCCTTTAAACATCAGTCATTAAAATGCTAAAAGAAAACCCTGTACGAACTTCTGCACTTAAGGATAGTTTAATATGAAAGTCTTTAGAACCATTTTTTTCCCCAATTAAAATTGAAAGTGTTGAAGCCTTTTCCAAGATTAAATTTATAGCAGCTTCCCCAGTTTCATTAAAATTAATTTCAGTAACTGATGCAAAATTCAAGCTGCAGACCACACGCTACAGTAAGCATTATCCACCCATTCTTGCTTCCTTAACCAGTGTCAAGATTAAACTGCTTTTACAAAAAAAAAAAAAAAAAAACCCTTATTACTGAAAGAACAGAAGTATATCTTATGATTTGCATACAAACATGCCACAGACATCTGTACAACCCTAGAAAACACTAATAAAACATTAAACCAGCATTGATGCAGGCTAAACTCATTCTAAATTGGGGGGAAGGGTGAAGTTATCTTCATTTAATGAGTAGCTTATGCAGCTCATGTTATGACATATGCAAGAGTCACACTTATCTTTTAGAAGAGACCTTTTTCCTCCCATGCAGTAAGAACTATATGTTACAGCATACGGAGGCCAGAAGAGAGTTGTGCAGCAAGGGTTAGTGTCTACAGAGCTGCAGTTTAAGAACAGTCCAGTTGCACTGCATTTTTTAAGCTAACTATCCTTTCCACACAGCAAGGGAAAAATAGGTGTAGGGGATCTGTCTCAGACTTGCTTGGCTTTTGCATTCTTAATAGCAGCATTAATAAATGCCACACAGCAAATAAATCAAACACAAATACATTGAACATTCAGAATGCCAATGGTGGACAGTTATAATGTGAATTTTGATTAGCAGAGAACCATTCAAGATGGAGATTTAAAGACAGCTCAAGTTGCAGCAACTTATACTGGCTCATTAAATGAAAGCATCTTTAAATAATCATCATTCAAAGCAACAAGACAGACCACTTCTGTGCAAAGTGTGATATAAAGTTAAGTGCACTTTAAAGTTCTGGAACATTTAAAAAGATTATTCCCTTTGAACTGATGCCAGCAAAAAGCCTGCTTTAGTTCAGTAGAACTCTGCTACAATTTTGTATCTTAGGGGATTGCCAGGCTAAAATAAGTGAGAAAGAATTCAGCACCTAACAGTATTTTTGTTTTTGAAAACATTTGGGAACTGTGCTGAAGTCTTCCAATTTATCCACTGTTTGGCAAATACAGATCATCTATTTCGTTTGTACGGCCAGGGCTTGGAATGGTTCCTGAAACCACCAAGGCAGGAGTAAACTACTCAAGCTTCATCAAATTTAAGTAGGTTACTGCTGCCACTTCATAAGACCAGTTAATCATCAGCCTGAAGTTTAGTTCTACAAAAAACAAAGTTGTTATTGGGCATCGTACAATCCTTGTTAAATACTACATGAGTCACAGTGACTAATGCTGTCAACTTAACCCACAATTATGACAACAACTAAGGAATGCAAAGGAGAGAAGCAAGTACAAATTCTATGCAATTTTAGGAGCTGCCCAAAGCATATCAGTTTAGAATGTGTTCTTGTTTCAAAATACAATTTGTAAAAAGTAGAAGTAAACACCCCAAACACTTGAGTTTTTGCAAAATAAAACCCTTAGGCTAGTAATTTATTCAATAGTGCTATCAGACATCTTCAAAACAGCTATGAAACCCATGTCGTCTTCTCGGGGCAGGAAAACTAAAAACACAGTTCTGCTTCATCTGACAAAAACATTCTTTGTTTCCCAACTCCAATTAGCTGTGGCTAGTATTTACTCATAAGTTTTTTTTTTGTTTGGACTTCAAAACTTGCACTTGCTTCATTTAGAGTGAAATCAGAACAGTGATCATATTCAGATTCACAAAGTTTGATATCCAGCATAACTTTTTCTTCTGCCAATTATGTAAGCAATCACTATAATGACAATCAAGCCAGCAAGTGCAGCACCAACTACAATTGGGATTAGAATGGTGTCATCATCCAGCGAACACTCCTGGGCTGTAGATGAGAAAAAGGTTGCAACAAGGAATAAATACAGACAGAATGTTTGCCAAGTGTGGTATTAAAAAAAACCCTATTTTCCTTAATATGAAGATGCTCAAAACCAAGTATTACCACATCTGTACAGTAAGAGAAAAAGAACTGTAAAGGTTCCATGGGTACTTCTGGTGTGTATTAAGCATTATAGTCACCTGGAACATTTGATGAACTACAGTAAGCTAAAGGTGTTATGCTGGTATATGAGCTTTCATATGCACAAAATCTGTACAGGACAACAGAGAAGGCATTCTTCTACTTTTAGGACAGAATGAGGTTGATCTATTTCATGTTTAAGGGAAGTTTGGCGCTTTTTACTGATTAATAAAAAAGTGACACAGATCTGGTATCAAGAAGCTAACTGCAACGGAGGTAAGTTACAGACAGATGAAATCACTATACCTGGAAGGAGGAGAAAGAAGCTAGCTGCAACTTGAACTACACAGTAAAATATTTCTTTAGGAACTATTATAATAAATATTGTTTATCGTGCATACATTAGGAGAGTCCGCTTATCTCTTTCTCTCTCAAAAGAGGTTCAAAAATCTGCACCCAGACTATTTGTCTACAAATTCATCTAATCCAAGACTATGCTGACAGTATTATTACAAAGCATAAAGACTGCGTTATACTAATGGCTAACCATGAAGTCATTTAAGCCATTCCAGTTTTCCCCAAACAAGGTCAGGATAGTACAATACACACACACTTTAGGATTAGTCTTTGATCCTGGACGTTCAAGTTTGTTTCTGGAAGTAGCTCTGTCAGTTCATTTTACCCAACACTCCTATTCCTTAGGCTTACAGGTTAAACAAACAAACAAAAAACCCAAACAAAACAACCCACCCTAATGGTGTTATCAAAGTGCATTTCTGCTGAAGTCTTGTCCCATTTTCTTACATACTCAAACTACAAAAAGGTATGCGTCAGGAAGATGTCAGAACTTCTGACCCATTTTGCCAAACAACACTTAAGTTCTTGTTCAGTATCTCTAACTCCTTCACGTTTCATGAAGGAGAACCTACGTATCTGGCAGACATTTCTTTAAAATGAGAAGAAATCTGACAGTTTTCCCTCGAACTTGAACGTCAGTCTCAGAAGTTCATTAAATTCCATGTAAAAATGGAAACAAGGACAATGCTTAAAAAAAAAAAGTGCTTACGTCCAGTCTGTTAGGAGTTTTTTTAGCAAGTAAGAATTCTTTAGTAGACTATACTACAGCTTGATAGGTTTACTCTTACCTGTAGAGAATTTATTTTCCTTCACGAGGAATGGCTGAATCCTTAGATTAAAAGTATGTATTTGAAGATCTTCATTAATTTCAAGAGTTTGCTCTTTTCGGCACATATAGGAACTACCAAGGGAAGCATCCCACTTGCTGAAATTGTTGTTATCTGCACTTAAAATGACTAAACAAAGGGAAAACAATTAACATGGAAATTTGGATACCCACTTATAAGGTCAGAGACACACTAATACACTCATAAGGCTAAAGAGCTGAATCTAGAGAGTCACTTTTCAACACTGGCTACTCTGAAATACAAGGTAGCCTGACAAGGTAGTCACCTGCCTAACCGTAAGAAATCAGGCACTAAAGTTTTTATAATGCTTATCACTAACCTAACCTCTACAGGGACACGACATTAGCCTTCCTTGTACCTCCACTCACCCAAACACTGCAGAGGCGTGAGCATTTTAGTTTTAGCACCCTTTTAATCGCGGCAGTTACGATAAACACAGCTTAGAGGGAAAAAAAGCATACTTTCTGATTTAGAAAAAAGAATGCTTCAGCTATTAGAAGGAACACTTTTCCCTGTCAGGATTAAGTGGAAGCGATGGGAAGATAAAGCAGCATCTTCAGGCAAAGGAAATAACAGCTGGTTTACAAAACAAAAGTTCAGAGTTGGCACAACTATATTCCACACCCCAGAAACTTACGCTACTGAAAATTATAACAAAAAAGCCCTCTTAACTTATGTATCTTAATCATCACGCAAGCATAAGAAACTCTGTTGGCAGGAAGCTTCAGAAAGAATGATCCTACACCGCTGTTTAAAGTAACTCTTGTAGCCATTTCTGCTACTTCCGTTTATACTGGCCTAAAGTCCTAGAGTAGTAAGTCAAAGTAGGCTTAAACAGCATAAAAAAGAGTCAGAAGTATCTGCTACTATAGACACAGAATAAAAGGCCATACTTGGATAAGGCAGATATCATTTCTTACCAGAACCATTCATATGGTTGAGCACTGTAACATTCACCTCTTTCAGATAAAATCTTCGTACATTTGCACTTGCGTTCTTCTGTTTAATAAGCAAGAACCACTGTCAGTACGCAATTCTGCATTTTGCAATTTAACTTTGAGAACACAGGCTTTCCAGAGGCAAGCACATTTACCAGTCTTATGTTTCTCAAAATTTTTTCCCAAGGGCAGTCAGTTAGCCACTTTTACTTCCAGTATATGAACAACCAGTCACTAGCAAGCTACAGAAGGGTTTTAGCATGAATGCTCGTCATACAATGCCATTAAATTGGAAACTTTAAATAAAGTGAAAGAAGTTACTTACTACAACAAAGGTGAAATCAATGAATCTGCTATTTCCATCATTCAATCTCAGAGTAGCTGCTGTGTTACCACAGGTGCCATCAGCACTAGTTGTCTTCGGATTGATGTTGATCAGAAGAGGCTGAAATACAGAGATAACCGAACTGCTTTGTTGTGGTGTCATTAGCAAACCAGTATGTTAGTCCGTAGCAGGCTTGGGCTAGAAGAGCTTGTCACGAACAAGGTAACAGTAGGAAGACTGAGTCTGGTTATTGGCTAACTAAGGCTACTTGAGTTATCTTTAAAAGCTGATAATAGTGAGGCAAACAAATTGCTCAGCAAAGTCTCACCACCACTTATTTAAAAAAAAGTAATAATAAATAAATCAATCACAGATCAGGGCTATTATTTTTACACACCTACCTACTAAAAGAGCTTAGCTCTGGCTCCCTCTGCAGGGAAAGACAGTATCTGCAGGGCCCAACAGCCTTAAGAGCTAAGAAAATTCCAGGCTTTTAATCATGTTAGAGGTATTTCCAGTAATTAGTTATGCTGAATCCAGAAAAGGTTTGGAAGCAAAACACTATGCCACATAACTACTTTGATGTCAGAGAAGTGACATGCACAATACTAAGAAGCACTTCTGGACAGTCAGCAACGCAGGAGGCAAACATCTTGCACTCACAAACTACAGCAACCTTTCTATTCTTCTAAAACTTGAGAGTTTTACCTTGTCTTGGGACACATTCAGCTGCAGCCCCACAGTAGCCAGAAGGCAGGTTTTATTTCCACTTTTAAGAGAATAGTTCCCTGTGTCTGGATTCTCCACAGGTTTGGGAGCAGTGGTTGGAGCAGGTGATAAAGTGGTAGTTGATGCAGTAGTTATGTTGGCGACAGTAGGCAGAACAGTAGGTGAAGAAGTAGGTGCATCAGCATCACACCTAGACTCTGAACAGAAGAAGTTTTAACAACCATTTCACTGCTGAGATTTTATTAAAAAAAGTCTTATGATTGAGAAGTTCCGTTTAATATAGAAATTCTGCACCGTCATGACCTTTAACTTACGTAGCACATATACTAGTTATTTCTGATGCACAGAAGTGAAGCATATGGATAAAGATAGCTTGAAGGGGTTATAAGTGTGATGAACATTTGCTGTAGACTAAGTAAACAGTCCTATTAAAGCTATATGTAGCAGGATGGTGCGTTAGTCTCTCTTGATTCGCAGGAGATTGAGCTGAGAGCTTACGCAGCAGATTCTGGACTAGTTAAAGGTAGAAGCAGAGAGTCTACCTCTGAAGACAGAGAGCAATCAGTTAAAAACCTTGAAGCTCAACTGCTCTATTTGGCGATAGTAATCCTGATGGGCTGTCTTTTAATACTCCGATTAGTAGAATGCACGCTATATTAGACTACTGCCTTGACTTGGGAAACGGTCTAAACAACTACACACTACTAAACCTGTTCCATTACCCCATTTTTCAGGAACAAGGCAAGACATACCAGAGGATATTTATACCAGTATTATTCACCATAATTGGCAAATCTTAAATAGTGGTAGATTTTCTATTATGGGACTTTGTATTGCACCTTAGTGCAAGAAGCAAAACAACTCATTCACAGTTTGAAATACTCACCGTTTTTTCCAATTGTGCCATTCTGAACAAAAGCCTGCAGAGTGAGGTTCCAGAAGAACTGTGTTACGTTTTCTCCTTCAATAGAGTCAGTATTATGACACACAAAGACATTATTCAGTTGAACTGGATGCATAGTATCCTTTACAACAATGGTAATTGGACCTACAAATAAGCACAAACATTTAATTGGCATTTAAAATGCTTCATGACCTGCAAGAATATTAATAAGGTAGTGTTACATTTTCAATAATTCCACAAAGCACAGAATTAGAAAAAATTAATTCATGGGAATTAAGTTTAACAACCCTTATCCCTCTTTAGTGTTTTATCTCTGTATCTCGTCCTGAAGTGCTAAGTAATGCCAAGAAATTAAAGCCTCAAGAACTAGATAAGTCATTAGAAAACTAGATAAGTCATTAGAAAAGAGAAACATTTTAGTTAACTTTTTTTCTTAAAGAAAAAAGGTTATTAGTAGTAGGATGTCCATTAGTACACAAAAAGCCTAGAACTTTACTGTTTTGCTAAAAGCCATGGAAGGTAAGGTAGCGCACACTAAAATGAGTCTTCAAGATGCCTGTTATCTACTACCAGCGCCTCACCAACCTCCTCCTTCCATTGCACTTAAAGGCATTATTAAGAGTCAGAGAAGCTAACTAGTCTGTATTCTCATCCAGCAGGCAAGTACAACGAGCAACAGTTGTGCAGTATACGGCACAGAAGTAATCAGATGCTCTATTAATGCTTTAGATGTTAAAAAATCCAAGTACAGTAGGGTACATTAGATACGACACTTCTAGCAGAGACTGTTTTGTAAGTGGGACCCTGCACTGAATATTACCTTTTCTTTTAGCATCAGGAAACACCACAGTATCATTGGTGTTGTAGGTAAATGTGATGAAGTCTGCCTGGTAAGTTTCATTAGTTTTTGTAAAGTTAACGCTCCAAGAGTGACCTTCTCCAAACTGTACTGCCAGAAGTGCAGCTTGTGTGTCGTTACCGCAGATGCTTCCATCGTGTGTCACATTGGATGACAAACTCAAGGTTGCATTTTTCTAGAAGAAAAGGTCAGTTTTAGATATTTTCAAACAGCAGTTCTTCCCCATGACAGTATTATAAGCCTGCTAGAGTTAGATGGAAACTTGCACAAGATTAGCTCCGTATTTTAGATTACCCTACCAAATTATGAAAAAGGCTACCTGACACCTGACTCGGAAAGCAGCCATATCAGATTCAAGTACAAAACTATAAATCAAACGTGGTTGTAAACCTTAACCGTGCTAAGCTGTAATTAACCCTTACTGTTTGGGATAAGAACACTACTACACCGATAAACAAAACATACTAAATTTGACAAGTACGCCATCTAAATAAGTGAACCGATAATTTCTTAAGCTTTACTTTAAAAAGAACGTTTATGAATACTCTTAACAACTGACTTAGTCAAAATCAATAAACTAGGTACCAGAGCGTACTTAAAGTTTTACCCAAGACTGAACCAGTTCTGAACAGAGGCTAGTTCCAAATACTTACATAATCACTGCTGTTTGTTTCATATTTTATCAAGAACTCCATCATCCATTGTGCATATAAGCATGTATCATTAGAGGCATCCTTCACATCTACTTCCACAGCATAGGACCGGAGAAAACCTGTAAGATACGATTATTTGCTGTTAAGACATTGATTTTACTTCATTTTGTTGAACTGTTTCTGAGGATAGTTCATTACAAAGTAGTGGACAGAGTACATTTCAGGACTGGATTCCATTTGCCAGACACTGAAAGAACTGCTAGATTTCTAACAAATATTAAAACTGGGACGCACACAATGAACTGTTATCAAGACTTGACAAAACTTCAGAAAAGGATGTTTTGCAGTCTCCTTACCTGATGGAAGACTAACAGTTTAAGAGAACGCTAGCTTTCCAGCGTCCTGAAACTGCATCAGCTGAACTGTATGAATACTGCAACATGTAAACAAAGTAGTGCTTGTAGAATAAGAGCCCCCATGTTATTTCATCTGTTTCATCAAGCAGCATGACTCAAGATGACCTCTAAAGGACAAGATCTGCGAGTCTTCATTGTGCTTCCACAGCTTCTGGCCTGAAGGACACTTATGCTAAATTCACTCTAAGTTTTTAAGAGAGCTTCTTACAGGTGTTGGATTTTTAACCTAGTCTGACTCTCAAAGGAGGCATTTTCCCATAACGAGCTTTCATTTGCTTGTTATCCGACATTTCCAGCCTGCCACATTTCCCTAGAACAGATAAATCTCGAACTAATGTTAATCAGGATTTATCAGCCTGCCTTCCTTAAACATACGGTCACCATGATCATGCAGTTCTCTCCCACAGACCATGTAAGTTCCTCCATCCCCAACATACGCAAGTCAAGGTACTTCACATTTTGCTTCATGTTTTGCCTTGGCACTAAGGATCTTCTCCCTGCCACATACAGGTTTTCTCCTCTACCAGCAGTAAAGGCAGTTCAGCATGCAAGACAGCTGGCTGTAACCATCTCCTGCTACAGTCTGCCATTGTTTATGCTCTTTTGAATTAAAAGGACTGTCAAAATTGAGAGGCTTTAACTGCCATACCTTCTATAAGAAGTATCCAAGGCAGAGCTTGAGAAATTTGACAGTGCTAACTCTGAAGCATGTGAAATAGCGCCTGATACCGCACTAGTGATTTATCAGTGTTATCACCCTAATGAAACTACTATCTGTTGAAAGAATTTTTAAGGCCAAGGACAAGGCAGGAAGTTAAGGTTCTGGTTTGGTTTATCTTGAGCTTGAAGCAATAAACAACGAGCTTTAGTTTCAGTGGTGGCAGTGAATACATTACTCCACCTAACCAAGCACCTATACTAGGTAATGTCACATCAGTGTCACGTTGAGAAAGAGGCCATACTCTATCCCCTTGGAGCAGGTCCCCGTTACATAAATTGCTGCCTGCCCTCAGTTATCTATGTTTTGTTAGAAGAAAATTCACACAGGCCATTTCAAAATAACTCATTAAATGAGATACCGAAAGAGCGGAAAGGGCTGTAAAAAATTGTTGTGGCTAATAGTCATACTTGACAGGTTTTTCAGCCTCCTAACATGGACTCCTGCATCAGAAACAGAAGCAACCTTCCCATTTGTCCCATCCTTCCTCATTCATAGAGGAAAAAGAACCACAACATTGGGCTCTGTTCTGCCAACAAGCTTGTTTCCTTTAGCCCGCACTGACTGCCTATTTTGCTAAATTCTTGCTTATTTACTGATCAGTCAGTTGATAACAAATCAGTGCACAGAGACTGCTGGTCTTGAACTTAAGGCGATGGCAAGGTGCCTCCCTTAAGTATTACCAGGGGATACATCAGAACTTCAGATTACTGTTTAGAGAAACACAGTCTGTAATAGCTCATCTGCATCCTCTGCTATCAGATAAAGCTATTTTGACAGCACCACGACTGTTTAGCATTATCACTTCAGCATGAGGGAAGTTTACAGATGCTAGTTGAAAGTATTAGCATTACTTCCTTCCAGTAGGAAAGCACAAAATGCTGTTGCTTGAACTTGAAGCACGATCTTAGAGTATATGCGAAACTAAAGCAACAAGGACAGCTTAAACACTGCAGAATTATACAAAGCTCTCACAACAGACAAACTGTGTCAGAAGGACAAAGCATCATTCTGACACTGAAACTGAAGCAGATGTTTCGCATCACACATGACTTCTCCATATATCTACTTTAAACTATCATTCCTTCAGACCATCAGTTTTGAATAAAGACAATTTGAAAGAACTGAAATCATCTACTCTCTCAGGACATATTCCAAATTTCTAGAGGTTCCTACTTATATATAACCTCTAGAGGCTCCTACCAAACAGAAGCAGCATTGAGATTTGAGGAGATGGTGAAAGAAGCCCTTCAAAAAGCACCTGATTCCTACCCGCTGTGCATGGCTGCCAAAGGTGATAGGTAACAGCATACTGGATGCATGTAAAACCTGCCCGGCACAAAGTACGCGGAGGAGGTAGCAAGTCAGAGAAGGAGAGCTTCTTTCTGCTCAGACTTTCGAGGTTTGCAACTCATGGGAAAGGATGGCTGCACGGAAACAACAGACATGAAAATTCAGTTCGGTCCTTACTCCTAAAAATATGTGAGGCTACTATGCATTTCAGCATACATTCCCTCCTGCAATAGTCTGCCTGACCGGTCTAGCTGATCCATTAAAACCTGCAGATCTTTCTACAGAACTAGAGACTTTTTCTCCACTTCATACCTTCGCAGGTGCTCACTCCTAACTAACTGGAGAACCTCATACTTAAACTAGAGAAGTGACTAAAGAAAAGGAGAATACAATCCAGTAAAGCAAAAGATTGTTCTGAATGTTATTTACACCCTCCATAGGGCATGCTGCTTCTCAAGGTTTTGAATTATTTACTCACCTCCATCATCTAATCACTGAATAAAATTCTGACTCTGGGCAGAGAGAAATTCTGCTCACTTCATCCCTTCAGGCTGACAGTGAACAAGTGGAAAAGACAGTGATAAGAATTACTAAACGCTCCAGGACTCATGAGATTTCTGAATAGTAGGAAAAAAAGAATACAGCAGCATATATCAAGAACAGCTATGTAGCTGAAGTCCCCTGTTTACATTAATTTCTAGGCAGCAGAAGATTCTGTTAAAACTTCCACAGTGGCTGTAACGCCCCGTAAGGCAATACCTACAAAGGGAAATCCCTCAGCTAGCAGAATTAGAGACAAAAGTAGTACATCTACCCACAAAGTAAGGCAGTAAACACTAAAGATTGCTTGCACATTCACAAACCACCGGTTTGTTATGCCTTTTTAGGAGAATTTTTGTTTGTACAGAGTTCTATGGTGCACTAGAAGATACCAGCTTTGCAATTTACTACTGCAAAGCACACAAACTTACTGCCAAGAAGTAGCTTAGAGCTCCAGCAACATTAAATAAAAGCTCATTTTTTAGTTAAAGAGTTATTTATTACTGCACCTGTGTACCAGTTCTGTATTACCATCCATTCTCATTTCAGAAGAAACTGGGCCAGGCCTTAAGTTTCTGGAAACCACTGCAACCTAGCCAGCATAGCCATGGTACTTCAATATAAACACACCATGTCACACGGCATGTTAAAAGACTATTGACTGAGCCAAAAGATAAGTATATTTAGAAGTAATTATTTTACCACAATTTGAAAAGCAGTATAAAACTAGCAGGAGCAACTTTACTAACTTGTTTTGTAATACTGCAATTTCTTGGCTTCTCAATGCTGTTTTACATATTAGGAAAGTCCCTTCCACCCTCATTAAAAAAAAAGATATGAAAAAAGACATAAATTGAGCTCTGAAACTATTTTTGCTATTAATTAGTAGGTGAGAGCAAAAGGAAGAAAGCTTATTTACTATGAGTAACTGAAAACATCCTAAGAAGAAGTATCAAGTTAACTACTACTCAGACTGTTTTCCTTACAGAGAAAGTAGCTTGCAATAACTTCTCCAAAAGGGATACTTCAGCACAGGTGGTGGTAGATGGCAGCAGTAAAGACTGAAGAAATGCTACAGTTAGCAAGCGCATACAGTAGACTTGACCAACACAGATAATCCCAACAGACATACAGCACCTTACACGCCCTGACCTGCTTAACAGTGAGTAACTGTAATTTTTGCCAGTACAGCTTTATTCCAGCTGCCAAAAGATGCACCTTCCCTATAAGAGATCTGATCTACTTTTAAGTAACTAGTTAGAAGATGTCCTCAAAAGCCACAGACACAAACGTGACAAGCATCTAACACAGTTGGCAGGAAGTGCTAGCATAGCAGAGGACTACGTTCAGTTAACTGCTAAATTTGTAATATAGAATTTGCAGGACAGGGGCATTCTCTTCATGAAACCTGAAGATCAGACAGCCTCCTTGCATGCTTTGCTCACGTAACAGTGCTGCAGACAGTAAAACATGATTAATAAAATTAGGGATTGCATTTATCAGAAGCAGATTAGCCTGGCTTTTTGCAACCTCTAGTCAGTCTACCTCTTTATAGAAGGAGCGTCTTTGGATATAAAGGTACACAAGGTTTGTGTGTGTGGGTTTTTTTTGTTTAAAAAAAAAAAACCACTACTTTCTCACCCTTACTATACCAAAGGCATCTACAAATGCAAAAGGAGTGCTATGGTATAATACTGCTACTTAATGCAACAGCAAACAGTGGCAAAAGTTGGCATTTAAGTATAAGGCTTTATAATGGAACAAAGAGAGTATTAACAAAAATACAGAGTGAACTGAGGGGCAGACAAGCCCATTCTCAAAGCCATGACCTGAAAGGACAACGTTACTCTGCAAAGTGCTCGTCACGCTTTGAGAACGCTTTATAAGGGAGAACCCCCTGAATTCATCCCAAACCTCACTTAAATACATAAACATATATAACTCATCTCTTCAGAGATAAAAACGCGTTACTAGCACTTGCTTGACTCCTACTTGAGTTTTCTTTTTTAAGGGGAACAAGAGTTATTCCAACACGCTCTATATCGCGTGAGAGTATGACCGTTGGTCTCCCCAGCTCCAAACGCGCCTCGGTTGCCGCTGGGAGCCGACCGGGAGGGCTCAGGAAGGCGGCAGCGGCCTGCGGGCTGACAGCGGCAGCGCCGAGCGCAGGGAG